CTCTTGTTTATTTTGCTGTTCGAGCTGCCATTGTTGTAGGTTTTCTTGTAACTGCTGTTGTCTTTCTTCTTGTTTCCTTTCTTTTTCCTCCAACAACTGCTGTAATTTCTCTTCTCGTTCTTCTTTTTTCTTTCCTCCAACAACTGCTGTAAAATTACAGCAGTTGTTGGAGGAAAAAGAAAAGAAACAAGAAGAACGAGAAGAGAAATTCTCTTGTTTAATTTCTCGTTCTTCTTGTTTCTTTTGCTGTTCTTGTATTGCTGCCATTAAGTCTGCTATGCTGTAGTTTGATTTGCCGCTTCTCGTTTCCATTTTTTTATCCCACTTCTGACACCAATTTGTTACTTCTCCGTTTGTTAATTAACCTTCCGTAACTTCGTTCCGACGAAACTTTAGCGACACAAGTCCTTACTTAATAAAACTGGTTTATTCTTTCTGAATATAACTTCACGATACACTTGATTTCAACATTCGCGCTAAAACAAACGCTATAACGAACGTTAACTTCAACAATACTTTCTCACTGCAGATCAATTACTCACTACCTACACACACATTATCGTCACGTTGTAACCCTCTTATATATATACTAGACTACCCTATATCTTCTAATTCGATGACGAGGAACCCACTTTGAGACTAATAATGGCTGGAGACGGCTTGAATGGGTAATGAAGAAAACTTTAATATAAGTTTAACATAACAGCAAATGTACAACATTTCGACAAGGTTTTGTCATCATCAGGTACAACATTTTTCAGTTCAATGGCGAATTTTATGGATAAATTGATGGAGTCAGCATGAACCCTAGCTTAGCATCTGTTATGACTAATGTTTTCATGAGAATAGTTGACTGATGAATTATCATAGAGTTCAAACCGCTTACTTACAATCGCTATCTTGATGACACATTTTTAATATTCAAAAATGAAGATCATTTAGAGAAATTGATAAGATATTCGAATTTTAAACATATTGTTACGACAGCGGAAATAGCGCGACGCTGGTAGCATGCGCGCTGGAGTTTCTCGAAGGATCATGAATTTGCCCGCAACTCTAGTCTGATCGAGCTGCCCTCTTCTTTTGTTTTTTAGTATATAAGCCTGGCGAGAAAAACCAGCGCGATTGAAGCTAGGTAGATAGATAATTGAGTCAAGCGAACAGTGGGCACCAAAAGTAAAGTATGTGAATCACTGTGATTTATAGCGTGTTATAAAAGTTTTAAGTAAAAAGACGAGAAACGCATTGGTTGTGAAATTACTGTGTATTACAAAGTTGTATCGAGAAAGAATAAACTGGTTTAACCAAGAAAGGACTTGTATCGCTGAAGTTTCTCGGAAAGAATTTCTACTGGAAATTATCAAACAAGCAGATACGCAACAATATTAACATTAAGTTCACCTGTGAACGCCAACAGTGCTCTACCTTTTACTGACACATATTTTCAACAAACAAGAATATCGGTTGTTACCAGAAACCTACCTACACCCACTTTTAACAGTTTTTTGTTCCACTTCATTTCAAAGAAAACCTTGTGAAATGTCTTATGTTCTGTGCGTTCACGGTATCACAAATTCCCTGGAACTTTTACATGATAAAGTAGGTTTTAAAACTTAACTTTTTTTTTTTTATTGTACCATCAATAAAACCATTCAACATCTACCCGGGTCGCTGAACTACGACGTCCCGAAGACACAGGTAAGGATCTCTCTACCGTACACAGACTCAAGCTCACGAATGTTGAAGGAGAAACTACAAACCATAATAAATTCGTGTTCAGACCTATATCAAGAATTCAGATTTTTTTTTTAGGTTTAAAGATCGTATCAAGTTTTTCAAAAAGTCACGTTTTATTTATGAATTCTGCCACCCAACGTATGGGGGGCGCGCGCTTACGTCGAATTAACTGTTAAAAGACTGAGAAGTCATAAAAAAAAACACTTTAATCCTAGATTCAAAGACTATTGTGATCTCAAAAAACATGGTACTTCATTGTTTCTAGGAGAAAATATCTTGCCTGATGATGACCTAGAAGGTCGAAACGTTTCATGACCATATTTATATATACATGTGCGCACACATAATAATAAATTCATACTTCAAACACTGTTCATCATGCATTAAGTGAATGTGATATTGTCCCAGTATGTTCAAAGTAATAGGTAAAACCGAAAACGAGACTATGTACGAGTGAAAGTGACGCTTCTAATCCTTCAAATGAAATCAGCAAACGGTTACTCGCCATTGAAGTAATTGAACTATATATATATATATGTCTAGCATTTTTTTCTCTCATTTTGTATTATCCTTATATTGAGAGCTTGTAAATGAAAGTAGCTTAATTTCCGAAAACCTTGGATATTAAATCCCTACCAGGAGAAGAAGGGAGTGTTTATGTCTTTAAGTATTGGTATTTTCTACTTTACAGAATAGACGTTTGACTAACAGAAAGGAGAATAATAGTTTTATGTAACTAGTTCTTTGTTCTTATCCCCTTCCAAGAAAAGTTTGGAAAATATATTTGGATTTTGAAACTAACAAGGTTTATGCCATTGCTTTATGAATGTGACTTTTAAAGATTCTCCCGATTTAAAAATGCTCATTTTTATATCGTGAATGTATTTACCTTGTAGTCAATAGTGGTCCTGGAAGCCGTAAATTCATCAGATTTCGATAGATTTTAAGTTGTACATTAAATCCTGTCTAAACAATGCTGTAATATGTTTATAGAGCTCTACAAGCCCAGTTCAAACTTAAAGATGTATGCCACAATAGAGCAAAAAATGAAATAGTGTAACAAGTACGAAGTTGAGTAAAACCACATAAAAACTTTCACTATATATACACCTGGAAAAAAGTTAAGCACCCCCGTGTTTTTTTTCAAGTGATTCAGATTC